GGGGCTGAATGCAGCCAGGTCCTGCCACCGGCGTGTGGCATCGGCTCCGGAAGCTCTGGCTGGGTGCTCGTCAGAGGCCGTTAGTGCTGGGGTGTGTCTGGCGCGGGGTCTGCCTGTGATCGAAGGCCAGGGGTGCGGTGGGAGCCGCAGGTTGTGCTCACTCCCACCCATTGGTGCTGCTGGGCCGGTTCACGCAGCCCGGGGGGTGAGAGCCAGGCACTGTAGCGCTGAGTCTCTCTCAGTGCCCCAATGTGTGAGCTTCTCTCAGGCCCATGCCGGGGCAGTGGGGCCCATGGGCGCTAGTGCCAGTGTTGTGTAGGCAGGTCGGCCCTGAGTGTAGAGGGGCCTTATGCAGGAATTGTCCCTGTCCGCCGCCCCTCCCCCTTCCGGTGCAGAGATCTGTGCCCTGGGGCTGACACTCCTGCCTCTCTCCAATGCTGGGCAGCGGGACGTGAGGGCTCTGCATGCCCTTTGCAAAGTGGGTAATCCCCCCCGACCCGCTCTGTTGGCGCCCAGGTGGGCCGGGCAGCAGGCCCGGCTCGCGCTCTGCTGGACAGTAACTATGGCAGGGCATATGGGGCTGGGGGTCGGGAAGCCCTAGCAGCTGAGGAGCTGGGCTGCTTTCTGGACCTTAGGCAGTTCTTGGCGGCTGCCCCGCTGCCCAGGTTGCTTTCAGAGTGACAGCTTCATCTGGGCAAACACTGGGTGCTGGGGGTCGGCCTGAGCTCTCAGGCTGAGCTGCGAGGGCCCCTTGTTGAGCAGGGACTTCAGGAAGCACCTGTCTGGAGGAGCCGAGTCCCTCTGGTGCAAGGGCTGTGGAAACTGGCTCCCAGCCCCATGGCCGTGAGCCGCCTGGTGTCGTCACAGCTCAGCCAGCGTCTCTTGCGGTCCTCTGGGGGCGCGCTCCAGGCCAGGCTGGGGCAAGCGTGTTCCCAGAGATCGGTACTTGAAAGCCACTTGTGAGCAGGGCAGCTGTGAGGGGGTGTTTGGGGCGGGGGAGATGCTCTTGCGAAGGTCTTGGTTGCACTGGGTGCACTACATGGTCTGTCTGTGCTCCCTGGAGTGCCCAGACGCATGGCACGGTCAGGATGTGCCAGGCTCTGCTCACACTAGAGTACCCAGTTGTGCCAGCCCAGCCATGTCCTGACCCAGTGATTAACAGCCACCTGTCTGCTGTATCCCTGTATCCTGATTTCTGTTGCCCGAGTGCCCGGGCATTGGCTGGTCCTACTCTGGACATAGGCCAGGCTGTGGGGTTGGGTTTTGAACCCCATCCTCGAACGCATGCAGTGCTGGGGTGCTTGGGCAGGCAGTGTGGGGTCTGTCCTCCCCCTCCCCCTTTACTGCCCCCGTGCCTGTTTCTGTGTATGACCCGGCCGTGTCTTGGGACGTGTGTGCCTGATGCCCTAACCCCTCCCCAGTGAGGGGGGTTCAGGGGTTGATTTGGGTAAATCTCAAACTGCTGAAAGCTTGGGCCCAGCACGTCCCCCTCTCAGCAAACCCAACGGACTGCCTTTGGCCCAGCCACTCGGCGTGGGGGTCTGGGTGACGGAATAATGCTGCTGCTGCCTGATCCACGGACTTCCTGTGCAGCTGGTCTAGCGGCAGACGACTGACCCACGGCCTGCTGCACTGGGCCCCTCTCCCGGGGGCTGGGCTACGACGCCGGCCCTGGCAGTGGAGACGGGGAGAAGCCTGCTGGGCCCCTCTGCACTGCCACAGAGCCTCCGGGACCTGCTGTGATACAGGATCGTTGGAGCCAGGTCGCTGGCTCCGTAGTGGAGCCTGGCCCACCTCTGGTTGCAGCCTGGAGAGTCTGGGTCCAAGCAGGAAGGGAGGTTGGAAGTCGCTCCCCGTGTCCAGCCTCAGATGATGTTTAAAGACTAAATGTTACTGAGTCTCCAATAATTTAACTAGCAATAGGGTTTTTATGAAATCTTCTGTAATTTACGAAACGATATTGATGACCTTTCCAGACTGCTTTCTGGGAGGTTAGAGTTTTGAAAGTGAAGCAATGGTGCTGCTGTTCCATGAGCGTCCGCTCCATTGACCTGTTGATGTAAATAAACAGCGTGCTCACTGTAGTGTCGTCTCCTTCCTGGGCGTGTGGGGCCTGGCGGGGGTGAGGCCGGAGCTGTGCTGCCAGGCAGCGCTGGAGTTCTTTGTAAAGCCCCTTATCTAGCCTAATCCCCATGGTCCTGGTGGGGGCTGGAAGATTACCCTCACTCCGCCAGTGGGGAAACCGAGGCAGGCTAAGGACCTGCTCCTGAAAGAGCAGCGTTCCCCTCGGCTGCTCATTTCAAAGGGCTCTTCGCCTTCCAGGCATGGGCCTCACCTAGGCTGCCCAAGACAACACAGCAGGGGCTGGTGCGCGCCCCACGGCTCTGCCAAGCTCAGAACGGGCATTAGTTAATGTTTGGATGATGAAATTCTTTGTGTCTGAGCCCTGGATGGGTTCCACCTGCTGGTAACTCCAGCTCTGCCCTGCCGATCTGCTCCGGAGCCTGGCGCTGAGCGTGCCACCAGCCTGGCTGAGCCAGAAACTGGATTGCACCCAGCTCTTGATTTTTAAACCTCGCTCACTGCTCCGCTTTCTCAGGAGGGAGGTTTCCATGATCAGGGCGCAGGCCTGGGGGTGCTTCAGCTGTGAGGCTGCCAGCTGCTCTGATGCCTGTTGCAGGCTGGTGTGTGCTGGGAAGGGCATGAGGGAGGTGCTGGCCTAGGGAAGGGGCCAGGCCTGGGCGGGCATGCAGTGAAATGGTGGAACTGGAACAGCTGCGGAGTGAGGGCTCCCCGCCCCAGCCTGGCTGAAAGGGGCTGCTGGCCGTGTCACTGCGTTCGCCACGGGGCACTGGGGCAGGGGCTGGGCTGGCCGGGTGGAGTCACAGGCAGGGCTGAAGCTGCTGCTGAGAGAGCACTATGGCTTTTGGCTATTAATAAATCTTGGCTGGGTCCTTTTTTTAGGTTTTTGCCTAGGGGACGGCCATCTGCTCACAGGTGTTTCCTGCAGGGCTTAGCCAAGCTGGGTTCATCCCTGGATCCCGACCCCCCCATTCTGCATGTGGCCCCCCCTTCCACTGGGCCTGCAGGGTGGAGTGATGGTAGAGCTGGTGAACACGGGGTTGGCCTGGGTGCTGCTGCTCCAGGACCCAGTTACCGTAGACGTGGGTGGTGTCAAATCTGGGCCAGCCGCCTGCAGCCCCCAGGGCGGGGGGCACAGCCACTCCTGGGGCTGCTGACACTCGCCAGGCACCAGCGTCAGAGGGAATTAGTCCAGGCTCCCACAAAGCTTCCTCTCACCGTGGCCAGCCTGGCTGATCCCTTCCTCGCAGCGCGGCAGCACCGGGTGCCCGGGTAAGAGCAGGAGCGCCCGCGCACGGAGCTGCTTTCTCCTGCGTCACTTTGCAGGGGTCTTGCTGCACCTGAACCCCAGCCCAGGCAGCTCGGGGTAGGAATCGGGGTGCTGGGCTGGCTCTGTTCAGGGGATGGCTCCCAGGTGGCTTAGCTGGGCTGGGGCAGGGCTAACCCAAGGCCTTTGGGAGCCGGGAGCATCTGCTCCTGCAGGCTCGACGGCCGGCAACAGCACTACCTGCAGGAGCAGCATCGCCCACGGCCCCGGCCCCAGCCCGGGGCTCAAAGTAAGAGCGGGCTTGGGCTCGGCTTGGCCCTGTCTGACAGCTGGGTGTCAGCCCAAGGCTGCTTGGTGCTGGGGAGAGCCCGACAGGCCGCGCGGGAACAAGGCAGGCGCTTGCCCCTGCTGCCGCGTTCTGCCACGTGGGGAGCAGGCTGCTGGGCTGGGTTTCCTGTTGTCGAAGTGGGGCTGGGCCAGGGCCGTGCTCTTTGGGCCTGGCCGGCTGCTTGCACAGCTGCATGTGCACAATGCAATGGAAATCCAAACAGCATCTGCCTCCACCAGAGAGAGGTCACGTGGGCCGGGCCAGTTGCAGCCCCTCCCCCCCCCGCTGGCTCCCCCAGGCCAGATCGCAGGTGGTTTGTGGCTGGGCCGGGATAAACACGGAAAAGCTGGAAAGGGGCGTGTGCTGTTTGGTGCCTTTCTGGGGGGCCCGTTCCCAGCGCTGAGAGGGCTGGGCAGGGCCCGGAATAATCGCAGCAGGCTCCAGTCAACCCAAGACGAATTTTATTTATACATTATCATGGTTACACGGGGTCAGTACAAATATTTACAGCCCAAGGCCAGGCGGTGCGGTGGCCTGCCGGTGCCCGGCCACAACCCCGGGGTGGGGGAGGCAGGGCAAGGCCCAGCTCGCAGGCGCCATTCAGACTGGTTCTGCGCCTGGGGCCAAGGCTAGCTGGGGGGGGGAGGTGTCAAACTGCGCTGCGGGC